TGTAAGCCTTCACCTGAAGTACAATAAAATATTAAAAATAAATAAATAAATTAATTAATTTAAAAAAAAAAAACACTTTTGACAACAAAAATAGCAATTACATTTTTTTAAATCAAATCTCAGATGTGTTCTTGTTTCCCAGAGTTCATTTTGCTAAGTTTCAGTATTAGCCCTCAGCCGTTCAGTCCACGTGTATTTGGTTCTGCATTTCTCCTCCTCCTCATCCTTTGCTTACCCCCAGCCGGGAAGGGCTGAGAAGGGCCATTGTATTCGTTTCGTGGGGCTGCCCCCTAACAAAGTACCACAAATTGGGTGGCTTAAAGCAAGAGAAATTTATTCTTTCACAGTCCTGGAGGCTAGAAGTCTGAAGTCAAGGTGCCGGCAGGGCTGTGCTCCCTCTGGAGGCTCTAGGGAGGGCTCCTTCCTTGCCTCTTCCAGCTTCTGGTGGCTGCCAGCAATCCTTGGTGTTCCTTGGCCTGTAGCTGCCTTACTTCAGTCCCTGCCTCCATCATCACATGGCGTCCTTCCCTGGGTGTCTCCTGTGTCTTCCCGTGGCCTTTTTTTTTTTAATTTGTGGTAAATGTATTTATGTAACAAAACATTTGCCATTTCAACAGTCTTCACATGTGCAGTTCAGTGACATAAATTAAGTTCATCATGTTGTTCAACCATCATCCTATCTATTCTGAAATGTTTCTGTCACCCTTAACAGAAGCTCAGCGTCCTCTAAACATCGATTCCTCTTTTCCTCCTTCCTCCCCCGTGGCCTTCCTGACACTGAATTTAGGGCCCACCCTAATGCAGTATGACCTGATTTTAACTAATTATATCTGCAAAGACCCTATTTCCAAATAAAGTCACATTCTGATATCCTGGGTAGACATGAATTTGGGGGGACACTATCCAACCCAGTATAGCCATGGTTTGCAGTCTTGTTGTGTAGACAAGAAAGGTGAGCAGAGGTTGGAACTCAGACCTCCCGAGCATGCTCTGGGAGTGACCAGAGCTGGGTCCCCTGATATGTGGTTTCCGTGGCTTCACTATGGTGACGGGGGCAGGGTCATGGGGACGCCACGTCACACAGCCCTGAAAGTGTGGAAGACAGCAGGTGTTCTTCTCTCTGTTCTTCCTGACAGTTTGTGAAGTTTGCCAACATTGAGGAGGACACCCCGTCTTATCATCGGAGCTACGATTTCTTTGTGTCCCGGTTCAGTGAAATGTGCCATTCCAGCCACGACGACTTGGAAATCAAGACCAAGTGAGTAGGGGGAGGCGAGGGTGGCCTGCTCAGCATGTGACAGAAGCCCCCATGGGTCTTATGGAGTTTCCAGTCAAGTGCTTGTCTGATCACATTGGTGTAACTTTTGCTCTGATGTTGCTGGGGAGAAACCCCCATGAGGCTGTGGGAGCAGAAAAGGAGCAAGAGCACCTGGACTTACATGACCAGGAAGGCGGGCAGTGCTGGCTCCCAACGTGTGGTTCCCAAAGGAACACCTCTTGGGTCAGAAAACAGGGCTGGACTTAAGCCAACAGTCCTTTGAGCCCAATTTGAGAACCAGTGGCAGAACATACACACACACCCTGAACACTCTCTATTATTCAGAACTACATACATTTATTCACCCCAGAAACACACTCACCATTATTCATCAAAATGTATACCCAGACAGTGAAACACTTTGAGGGACAGAGTAGCTGGGGCTGGGGCTAGGGACCGTGGTTTTGGGGGACATCTAGGTCAATTGGCATAACAAAGTTTATCAAGAAAATGTTCTGCATCCCACTTTGGTGAGTGGCGTCTGGGGTCTTGAAAGCTTGCGAGCAGCCATCTAAGATGCATCAGTTGGTCCCAACCCACCTGGAGCAAAGGAGAATGAAGAACGCCAAAGACACAAGGAAAATATTAGCCCAAGAGACAAAAGGGCCACATAAACCAGAGACTACGTCAGCCTGAGACCAGAAGAACTAGATGGTGCCCGGCTACCATCAATGATTGCCCTGAAAGGGAATACAACAGAGAGTCCCTGATGGAGCAGGAGAAAAGTGCAGAGCAGAACTCAAATTCATGTAAAAAGACCAGACTTAATGGTCTGACTGAGACTGGAGTAATCCCCGAAGCCATGGCCCCAGGACTCTCTGTTAACGCAGAACTAAAACCATTCCCGAAGCCCACTCTTCAGACAAAGATTAGACTGGACTATAAAACATAAAATGATACTCATGAAGAATGTGCTCTTTAGTTCAAGCAGATACACGAGACCAAATGGGCGGCTGCTGTCCAGAGGCAGGATGAGAAGGCAGACGGACAGGAACTGAATGAATGGACACAAGAAACCCAGGGTGGAAAGGGGGAGTGTACTGTCACATTACAGGGATTACAACTAATGTCACATAAGAATATGTATATAAATTTTTGTATGAGAAATTAACTTGAGCTGTAAACTTTCACCTAAAGCACAATTAAAAAAAAAAAAAAGTACACGCAGATCAATAAAAAAAACCAGAGTCCTTACATGAGCCAATGCCCCTGCCTCCCTCACCTCGTCTTCTCACCAGAATCATTCCAGCCACTGGACTTTGTATGGTCTGTCCCTGTGCCTGGATTGCTTCCTGCATAGCTCACTCCCTCACCTCCTTCAAGCTTTTGCTCAAATGTCCCCTTGTCAATGAAGCTTCACCCTGAATGTCCCCACACACTCACTCCCCTTTTCCCTCATCCATAGCGTTCATCCCCTGCAAACATGTTTTATAATTTCCTTACTGTGCTTCTTACTCATTGTCTGTCTCTCTCCACTAGAATATAAGCTCAGTGAGGGCAGGAGTCTTTGTGTGATTCACTGATACATCCCAAGTGCTAAAACAGTGCCTGGAGACAGTAGGCACTCAATAAACATTTGCCGAGTGAATGAACAAGTGATTGCTTCCAGGTAAATTTCTTGAGTTAGACAATATACTTTCACATACACGTGCTCAAACTTATAAAAAATAACTCATGAGAATATACTCATGACATAGAAATAAAATCCCTTAGCTGTGAGGACCATGGTCTCAGGGAATATCTAGCTCAACTGGCATAACACAGTTTATAAAGAAAATGTTCTACCTTGGTGAGTAGCATCTGGGGATCTTAAAAGCCTGTGAGCAGCCATCTAAGATACTCCACTGGTCTCACCCCTTCGGGAGCAAGGGAGAATGAAGAAAACAAGATACAAGGGAAAGATTAGTCCAAAGGACTAATGGACCACATCCACCATGGCCTCCACCAGACTGAGTCCGGTACAACTAGATGGTGCCCGACTACCACCACTGACTACTCTGACAGGGATTACAACAGAAGGTCCTGGACAGAGCTGGAGAAAAATGTAGAACAAAATTCTAACTCACAAAAGACTTACCGGCCTGACAGAGACTGGAGAAACCCCGAGAATATGGCCCCTGGACACCCTTTTAGCTCAGTAATGGAGTCACTCCCAAGGTTCACCGTTCAGCCAAAGATTAGACAGCCCCATAAAACAAAACGAGACTAATGAGGCACAACAGTCCAGGGACAAGGACTGGAAGGCAGGAGGGGACAGGAAAGCTGGTAATAGGGAATCCAAGGTTGAGAAGGGACAGTGTTGACATGTTGTGGGATTGTTAACCATTGTCATAAAACAATATGTATACTGTTTAATGAGAAATTACTTGTTCTGTAAACCTTCATCTAAAGTACAAAAAAAAGTGAAAAAAAAGAAATAAAATCACAAAAAAATCTACCTGAATATATACCAACACGTATATATAAAGCAAGGCACACAGAGTCAAACTGATGGATCAGTAAATAGATGTCTCATGCTAAATAGATGTCTTGTGCAAAAGAATGGCAAGGTAGATCCATGCCTACAAAAAGTGTGTTATCAACTTAGGGAGACCATATGAAACTAGAGAATATGTTTAAAAGAGGAGGAAGAGGAAAAATGAAGAGGAGGGGAATGGGGCAGGGGCTAAGCTGTTCATACCAGTCAATGCTGCAGGAGGAGTAAGAGAAGGAAGAGGCTGGTGGGCTGAAGTTGTCACCCGGCCAGGATGTCAACAGCAGACACATTCTCCATTGGTTGTTCCAGAACCCAGATGATGACTCCTGCCTTTATCACATCAGCACCTCAGAGGGGTTGCAAGAGGGCCAACTTATGTGGAACAGTAGGTCAGGGGACCCTTACAACAAGCTTCCCCATAGCTGATGATCTAGGTTGGAGGAAGAGGAAGTGAGTGGTGTCCAGACAATTTTTCCATCCCCAAAGTGCTTCCAAGTCAATGGAATGACTACTGGGCAGGTCCCCGGGCTACCGGACGGCAGTAAGCAGGTGATGCAGAAAGTGTAAGATTGTAACTAGGTGTGTCTGTCACAGGTGCTGATTACTCAGGCAATGCCAGGCCTTCAGGAGGGGGAATGAAGGAGACACCCCTCATGCTGCTACACACTCACACATCCACTCGCTCACACACACACACACACACACACACACACACACACACACACACACACACACACACACTCACAATCAGTCTGTAGCAGGAGGAGGAGAAGGCGCAAAAGTTGACATGGCCAGCACTGCATTCTGACCACGTCAGGAGTTTACTGAGCAGCAAGAGTGGGTTGCCGAGGTTTACCCCTGGCAGCCGGGCAGCACCATTAGCATCCACAAACTGGCACTCACCCTCCATGAGAGGAAAGCCTGCCTGGGTGAAAGGAATCTTCTGGCACCAGTCTTCTTCCTTCCTTCCCTTTTTGCTTCTCTGTTTCATAACCTCCCTGCATGCCCTGTTCCCTGAGATCTCCACCTGTTCCTCATTCTTAGCCTTTGCAGAGGGCAAGCCCAGAGCAGTGGCAGGTGTGGGGGGTTCCATCACCGCATCATCACTGCGTTATAATGATGGTATTGTTAATTGCCATCCAGTCGGCTTCTACTCTTGGCAACCTTATGTATAACAGAACAAAACGTTGCCTGGTCCTGCGCCATCTTCATGATCATTGGTATGTTTGATGCCATTGTTGTGGCTGTTGTGCCAATTCATCTCACTGAGGGTTTTCCTTGTTTTCGCTGACCCTCTACCAAACATGATATCCTTTTCTAGCGATTGGTCTTTCCTAATGACATGTCTTAAGTGAACCGAAGTCTCTCCATCCTCACTTCTAAGGAGCATTCTGGTTGTATTTCTTCCAAGACTGATCTGTTCGTTCTTCTGGCAGTCCATGGTATATTCAATATTCTTTGCCATCACCACAGTTCAAATGCATCAATTCTTCTTCTGTCTTCCTTTTCCATTGTCCAGCTTTCGCATGCATGTGAGGTGATTGAAAAGACCATGGCCCAAGAAGGCCAGAGTAGTGCCCGGTGATCCCACTTAAAACTGAAGCTGAAAATACAAATAGCAACTAAACATTTAGAAGAAATCCTCAACTCCAATACTAATCAAAAGGACGTGAACTAAGATAGCTACAAGATATGGAGATTTTTCTGAGCTATAAAATTGAACAGATGTTTACAAGGAGATTACAGTGTTGATGTGGGTACAGTGACAATGTTCTCCTGCAGTTCATGCTTTGGCTGGGAAGAATCATTTGGCAGCATTGGGAGCCTTTCATTGCTTATCTTTCGATCCAGTAATTCCACTCATGGTAATGATTCGAAACGTAGTAAAACATTTTTACACAATGATGCCCATCATAGCATTATTTATGGTAGCAAAAATTTGTTAACAACTTAAATGACCAATAGGAGAGTCGTTTAGAAAGTTCTTACCATAATATGTCATGCAACTATTCAATATATTTATGAAGAATTAATGATATGGGAAAATGCTTATAATATAATTAAAAAAAACAAAACAAAAAACCCATTGTCATCAAGTTGATTCCTACTCGTAGCCACCCTACAGGACAGAGTAGAACTGCCTCCAAAGAATTTCCAAGGAGAAGCTGGTGGATTCAAAATGCCGACTTGTTGTTTAGCAGCCAAGCTCTTAACCACTGCGCCACCAGGACTCCCCTGTAGTACAATATTATATGAAAAAAGCCAATACAAATTACATCTGCAGTAGGTTCTTAATTAAATATTAAGATATTAAATATTATGCATAGATGAAAGACACCAAAATGCTGATAAATTATCTTTGAGTGGTGACCTTCCTGTTGCCGTCGAGTCAATTCTGACTCATAGTGACCCTATAGGACAGAGTAGAACTGCCCCATAGGGTTTCCAAGGCTGTCATCTTTGGATGACAGTGGATTCAAACCACTGACCTTTCAGTTAGCAGCTGAGTGCTCAATCACTGTGCCACCAGGGCTCCTTGTGGTGACCATAGGGGTACATTTTCTCTCCTCTATACTTTTCTACAATTTGTATGTATTATTTTATAATCATAAAATAAAGAGATTGATTTAAAAAGAGAGAGAGAGAAACCTCAGTCTGAAGAAGTGGCCAGTGAAGAGGGCTCCCTCCCGCAGGGCCACGCTAACCCCAGGCTAGCCCAGTGGGGGTGGGGAGTACAAAAGGGGCCCCTCCACACAGTTTCTCAATTTCCCCTCCTGTTTCTCAGCCAACCTAGCCCCAATTGAAAACCCTTTGTGTCCAGAGAGCCTGCCAGCTCTCTGCTTCTCCCTCCAGATCCTCTTCCCCCACAAAATAAGTTGCTCATAATCCGAGATTTTACCTCATCAGTTCTTGGCAGTGCTTTGAGCTCTTATATCTCAGGCCCAAGTGGAAGAAACCTAGATGAGTGTTAAAGAGGGGGAGCCTGGAGCAACCAGCACCCCAGGGATGAAGCCAGGGTGGTACCAGGGCAAGAGTAGTCCGGGAGTATGGCCTCCTGGGCTCATTCCACCAGCACAGGAAGTCAGCCAGCCAGGAGGTCACGTCATGTGAGAAGAAGAAGGTGGCCTCCGTTCTGCCCTTTGATGGATGGATGCATTCCTAACCCCTGAACTGTGCCTCAGAAGCTGGACTTCTCAGGCTTGAGGACTTTGTGGTCCCATTTTGCCCTTTTCCTTACAGAATCCGAATGTCGGGCATCAAAGGTCTGCAAGGGGTGGTGAGGAAGACGGTAAATGATGAGCTGCAGGCCAACATCTGGGACCCACAGCATATGGACAAGATTGTCCCCTCACTGCTTTTCAACCTGCAGCATGTGGAGGAGGCAGAGAGGTGAGCAGGTGGGAGGATTGGTCTGGGAGAGTGGACACACCCAGGCCCTGCCAGATGTTCAGCAGCCACGTGACTTGGGTTAGTCAGTAAAACCGAGCCACAAGGCCAGGGATCTTGGCAGTTGTGGCTTATTCTGCAAGTGCGTCCAGAGCTAGCTCTGTAAGAGCCTTAGGCGTGGCCCTCTGCCAGCCCGCTGTAGCCCCTAACATCTATGTTAACAAAGGCGGGACGATTATGGTGCTGGACTCCCAGGGGGCTGGGGTGTGCTGGTCAGAACACACAGAACCGAGAGTGGGTTACCTTAGTCTCTCCGAAAACAGCAGGCCAAGGAGTTTTTAAAATGCCTTTCATGGCTCCAATTATAAGGACTTTCCCTCCTGGCATTTCCTTCCCCTCACTTCCTGATCGTATCTCAGGTGTGATGGTTTGACCAGCCAGCAGCGGCAGCCACTCAAGAGGAGTTGCAAATACTGGGTTTTAACCTGGGAGGCCCTCCTCATGGGATTCATTCCCGTCCCTGTGCCTTGCTCTTCCCCTCTGTGAATATAGGATAGAGGCAAAAGTCGATGCTGCTGACCCGCCTTGGCTGAGCATGATGCTGGCTGAAGACCCTGGGCTTCTCACTTTCTGGCAGGGAAAAGTAAATGTGCCCTCTGGTGGCCAGTTCTGGAATAATAGCTCACTGTGTGTTCTTTGTAGTCCTAGGGTGGGAGTCCTGGGGCTCCTTCTTCTGGCCAGCTCTGGGACTCGGGGCCCTGTAACTTGGTACCACTGAATCATGCCTGAGCCAATTACTGTGGCATTCCTTTCTCCCTCTGCCTCTTTCCCCTTCTTTCTCCCACCGTCTTTTCCTTTCTCCTGCTCTTGTCTGTCTTCTGCTCTGCGTGTCCCTTCTCTGTTCCTTCCTGAGCCTGTGGTACAGCAGGCACGCCTGGTCTGTGCCATCCGAGGCCCATGGTGCTCAGAAATCCTTCCCACAGAGGCACGTCAGGTCTGCCCTTAAGATTTCCGGAAAAGGAGCTTTTTCCCTCGTCCCGCAGTCTCCCTCCCCTCCGGGCTCTTCACCCCCTTAGTTTCTGACAGCCCTGACTGCTCCTGTTACCTAGTATAGTCTGCATCAGATTCCTGCCTGCCCCCTGTCATCACTTGCGTGGATAAAGCATAAACACCCCAGGGCACACAAAGCCTGACCCAGCCTTGCATTCCATCCCTCTTTGTGTCCCCGCAGCCGGTCCCCCTCGCCCCTGCAAGCCCCAGAGAAGGAAAAGGAAAACCCTGCCGAGCTGGCCGAGAGGTGTCTTCGGGAGCTGCTGGGCCGGGCTGCCTTTGGCAACATCAAAAACGCCATCAAGCCTGTTCTCATGTGAGTGGCTTCTCCAGGCCGCAGACTTCAGCTTTTCAGTGTTTCAAACCCCCAGTATGTCGTTGCCAGCTCCAGAAGAGGAAGAGGCATCACAGCTATGGCACTGTGGCCAAGAAGCACTGGGGAGGTCCCGAGTCTGGGTCATCCCGACAGCTGGCCAAACCAGTCCCATCTCTGTGCTGAGGTCCTGGCCTTATGAAAGCAAAAGCCACCACCCAGTGGCAAGGGCAATTTTGGGGACAGGAGTTAGTAGGAGGGTACCTGAAGCTGAAGGAAGATGCCTGGTTCATTACTATGTCCACAGCTACAGACTCCAGTTCCATGACCTCCCTCCAGCTCAGGGGCTGGGACTGCCTGAGGGCCCTCATGATTCCCTTTCTCTCCCCTGTGCCCCATAAGCCCTTCCTCACTCACCTGGGAGCTGTGTGAGGGGCCCCTCTTCTACCAGACGTCTCCTCCCTGACATCGTTCGTGTTTCTTCGTCAATCCCCCATATTCTCGCCCTCACAGCCATCTGGATAACCACTGTCTCTGGGAACCCAAGGTGTTCGCCATCCGTTGCTTTAAAATCATCATGTACTCAATTCAGGTATGGTGGCTCCCCTGGTCCAATGGTTCCTCATATCCTAAGTTCCTAGTTGGCTAAACTAGCACTGCTTAAATTAGCTGTGGACCAGTTTAGTTTTATTTCCAATATATCATCGACCAATACTTTTACAAAATACAATGAAAAAGAATTCCTAGAAAAATGAAATGAAAAACTCATACAAACCACAAACCCATTGACCCCGTATTTGGCTGCCACAGCATGTCAAATTGCTTATTAAATGCTTACTCTCAATTTCTGTACTGATCTTGGTGTAAACTGATCTCAAACAGATCTTGAATGGGCACCAGTCCATGGGCCACCCTTTGAGCATCCAGTTCTACTTGCTGTCAAGTCAGTTTCCAACTCATGACCACCCCATGTGTGTCAGAGTAGAACTGGGCTTCATAGGGTTTTCAATGGCTGTTTTTTTGGAAGCAGATCACCAGGCCTTTCTTTCAAGGCACTTCTGGGTAGACTCAAACCTCCAACCTTTCGGTTAGCAGCCGAGTGCGTTAACTGTGTACACTGCCCAGAGCCACCCTTTGAGCAGCACTGGGCTAAACCACGTGGCCTCTTGTGGCCCTTACCAGGAAGACCTGAGGCCAGGGGAAAATAACAAGGAAGAGAATATTTTAAAATTGATTTTTGACCCATTTGAAGTGAAAGGACCCAGGAAAAATGTGGAAACTGAGGTCTTCACTGGGACTTGACTGCTCTTTGTTGGACCAAGTGGGGAGGGGCTCCAGGAAAACGGACTGGGGTATCTGGATGCCCCCTCTAGTGCCAGCTGCTCTTGGGATCATCACTTTTGTTTACCCTGGTCTTTGAGTCCTAGTAGAGAGGTGCTTTGGCTCAGAGGCAAGGGGGTGGGTGGGGTTGCTGTTTGGAGACAGCACCGTCTTCCTCCTCCCCAGCCGCAGCACTCCCACCTGGTTATCCAGCAGCTCCTGAGCCATCTGGATGCCAACAGCCGCAGTGCAGCCACCGTGCGGGCGGGCATCGTGGAGGTCCTGTCTGAAGCTGCCATCATCGCTGCCACTGGCTCTGTCGGTAATGGGACCCTCCATGAAGGCATGAGGGCTGGAAGCCCCCTAAGGGCACCCTAGACAAAGAAGTGCCCTTGTGGGGAGCTGCCTTCCTTCAGGGCAAGGGACAGCATGGTGGCCTCAGTCAGGGGAGAAGGTGGGGGCAGAGGAAGCACCAGCTTGCAGAGGGCCTGGCTTGCCTGGTAACCAGGGCAGGGGAAGGTGAGAGGGTGCAGCCCTGGTTTCAGGTCTCCCCCACTGTGTCAGGGCCCACGGTGCTGGAGATGTTCAACACTCTGCTGAGGCAGCTGCGGCTCAGCATCGACTACGCGCTGACCGGGAGCTATGATGGGGCCATCAGCCTCGGTGCCAAGACCATCAAGGAGCACGAGGAGCGCATGTTCCAGGAGGCTGTCATCAAGACCATAGGTGGGCCCAGGGGAGGGGGCATGAGGGCAGCAGGCCAGGGTGTGGTGGGAGGTAGTGACAGGTGTTGGGGGAATGAAGCTTCAGTCCACAGGGCACACAGCTAGTGGACTAACTGGGGCCTGGGCCTGGTATAGCACAGGACAGTCTCTGTGGGCTTCTCACCAGGAGTTCAAATCGAAGGCCAAGGAAAGGAAGGCAAACTGTCCCTTCATCCCAGTCCCCACTGGGCCAGCCTAATGCAATTGGAGAGGAGGTGGGGAGTGAGGAAGAGAAAGGGGGAGGGCAGGGAATGGGAAAAGGCCATGGAGAAAGACGTATGCACATGGGTGTGGAGGGAAGACTTATCAGGCCACCGACAAGTGTGTGAGGGGCGTGTCACTTTCAGTGCCTTCCTGCCCATAGTGCCTCATCACATAGGAAAATCACATCAGATGACAAAATGGTGGACAATCACACAATATACTGGGAATCATGGCCTAGCCAAGTTGACACACATTTTGGGGGGATACAACACAATCCATAACAGTAGCCTATAAGGAAGGTTTGTGAAAATTAGACACAGGCTTTCCACCTGTTCTGGGTGACTCAGCTCTGTGGGTGTCCAAACTAGCTAGTAGAGTGCACCTTTCCCCTGGGCTGATGCAGCTTTGCAAAGGGCAGGGCAGGAATGAGCCCCGTTCATAGACAGAGCCAGTAAGAATCCTGGAGGTTCCCAAGGGCACACAGCAGAGCAGCCCGTGGAAGAGCCCAGATGGGAACCATGTTCCAGGGCTGAGCTCTTCCATGCCACCCACCCGCACTCCCAGCTTTAAGCAGAGACCTTTACCACAGCCTCAGGAATAACAAGAGAAGGACCCAGAACCTGGAAAAGCCCTCTGGAGGCATCCGATGCCTGCTCCTTCCTCTAGAGGCAGAATCACATCCAGACTGTTCCAGGCAATAGTTTGGCTGAAAGGCTGAGCCAAGAGAGGCACTTTCTGGCCTTGCCTGGGCCAAGCCTCTCCACCGTCCTCTCCGCAGGCTCCTTTGCCAGCACGCTGCCCACGTACCAACGCTCCGAGGTGATCCTCTTCATCATGAGCAAGGTCCCGCTGCCCTCCCTGCACCACCCCATGGAGCCGGGGAGGACGGGGTGAGTCTCCACACCTTCCTCCCACTTCTGCTTCTTCCAGCCCAGATTCTGCCCCAGGTGCCCCTTTCCATGTTTTCAGGCTCTCTCCTTTGTCCACCCTGACTCTCCTGACTCTGCCCTCTTCTCTTTCTACTCCCAAATCCCTCACCAACCTTCAGTGGGGGCCCTGGGTCCCAGAACCATTCCTCAGGCTGCCCCACCAATAACCACCACCACCACCTTGGGGAGCCATTCGTTCCCTAGTCTGCTTCCTGGGTCTGGAAGTCCCTGTCCTGGGTAACCTAAAAAGACAAGCCTGATGGAGAAGCTAATCATGGGGGGAGCTGAGCAGGTAAGTGTGGGGTCTCCATCCACATCACGGCCCCATTGAGTGTTTGTGTCTTCTGGTCTGCAGGGAGAACAGGAACCGACTGACCCAGATCATGCTGCTGAAATCCCTCCTTAAGGTGAGCTTCTCCTGTCCCCATTCCTGCTCTGCATCCTCGGGAGGCAGCTCCTTCCAAGGGACCACATACAGTTGTTCAAGTTGCATACTACATAGATGTGCCCAGTCAAAGGCACAAGTGGGAGACTGAAATCAGCTTGTGTGCCCTGGCACAGGGCTGCATCAGCCCAGGGGAAAGGTGCACTCTACTAGCTAGGTTGGACACCCACAGAGCTGGGTCGCCCATAACAGGTAGAAAGCCTGTGTCTAATTTTCACAACTCTTCTTTATAGGCTACTGTTATGGATTGAGTTGTGTCCCCCAAAAATGTGTGTCAACTTGGCTAGGCCACGATTCCCAGTATTGTGTGATTGTCCACCATTTTGTCATCTGATGCAATTTTCCTGTGTGTTATAAATCCTAACCTCTATGATGTTAATGAGGCAGGATTAGAGGCAGTTAGGTTGATGAAGCAGGATTCCATCTACAAGATTAGGTTGTATCCTAAGTCAATATCTTTTGAGATATAAAAGAGAGAAGCGAGCAGAGAGACAGGGGGACCTCATGCCACTAAGAAAGTAGTGCCAGGAGCAGAATGCATCCTTTGAACTTGGGGCCCTGCACTGAGAAGCTCCTAGACCAGGGCAAGATTGATGACACGGACCTTCCCCCAGAGCCAACAGAGAGAGAAGGCCTTTCCCAGAAGCTGGCACCCTGAATTCAGACTTCTAGCCTCCTAGACTGTGAGAGAATAAACTTGTTTGTAAAGCCATCCACTTGAGGTATTTCTGTTATAGCAGCACTAGATAACCAAGACAGCTACTGATGGCCTTGTCACTCAGACATTATCTTAAGATGGAATCTATTGGCTTTCCTGGGGGTTCTGCCCGTTTTCTTTCCAAGGCCTCCCCAGGTCCTCCCTCGCTTTGTTTCCACCTTGCTACTTGTACCCACCTCAGTCTCCCAGCTACCATCTTTCCCTTCATCGGTGTTTTATACACCTCTTCTTTACCATCCTTGCAGCCATCACTGGAGTCTAGAGCTGTTGTTCTCAGACACCATTCCCACGATCCACTTGTTAAATTATATAGATTCCCTATAGATTTTAAGCCATGGCCTGAGTGGGGTCCTAGAATCTGTCCTTATAAAAAGCCCCCCAGGTATTCTCATGCACAGCCCTAGCCTAAACTCTGGACCTCTCACAACTAGGTGATTCTCTGGTTGTTCCATCTCGCCTCACCTATCATAAACACAACCACAAGAAGAACTTTCTAGAAATGCTGTTCACCACGTTGCCCTCGTTAAAGACTGGGTCTTAGTTCCTGATTGTTGTACATCCAGATTTCAGACTTCTCAGGCTGAGTTGGAAGTTCCGCGCTCCCCTTCCCTCCCTAGGCTCCCATCTCACCCCTCAGCCTCTCTCTGTTCTAGCCCTGCCCATCCGCACAGACGCCTGCTCTCAGGCCTTCCCCAGCCCACCTCCTTTATCTCACTCTATAAAGCCTCTTCACATGGCACTGCCCACATCTGGTTACCCCCTTGGTCTGCCATTTCCTTGCTAAGTTTACCCTCACTGTTTTGTACCTGGAGCCCTGGTGGCATAGTGCTTAAGAGCTATGATGAGCTATGGCTGCTAACCAAAAGGTTGGCAATTTGAATCCACCAGCCGCTCCTTAGAAACCCTTTGGGGCAGTTCTACTCTGTCCTATAGAGTTGCTATGAGTCGGAATCAACTCGACAGCAACGAGTTTTTATTTTGTACCTGGCATTTCGTTAAGGAGACAGTTAGGGGCACACCCAGATGCATCTCAAGGGATCATCAGTGAACACTGATGTTCCCTATTGATGCCTCAGGCTGTGCTAGATCCTCAGGGACCTTCTGAATCATCAGAGGCATTGCTTTGCAATACGGGCTTAGTGTTGCATGTGTTTTGATGCTTTTGAATGCTTTGACAACACTATGTATGATGTATATGCTTATGCCAACTGGCTTTAATCAGAAGCCTCCCCCCAACCCCTTAACACCATAACAAGGGTAGGTAGCCAAATGCTGTGTGTGGTCTTTGGTTATTGCCATGTGTAGGGTCTGATTCTTCAACCCAGCCCAGCCGTTCATACACTGTCTCTATTTCTTTGTGATTGTCCATCTCTTAATGAAGAATTATGATCATGGAGGGTGTTCTGGAATATTAGGTTCAGGGGCTCCCTGGCACCTGTTCCCCGCTAGTGCTCACACCTTGCTTGCTTTTTAAAATTGTAGTGGAATCATATAACAAAATATTTGCCATTTCAACCATTTCTACCTGTACAATTCAGTGACATTATTTATACTCCCCATGTTGTGCAGCCATCACCACTTTCGGTTTCCAAATGTTTTCCTCACCCTTAACAGGAACTCAGTGCCCCTTAAGCAATACCTGCCCCTGGTAACCGCTGATAAACTTTGGTCTCTAATGCATTTGCCTAGTCTGGGTTTTTGCTTTCTTTTAACAACTTACTGTCCCTGCACGCTATCCCCATCCACCCACATGTCTACTAAGCCAAACTGAGCAGGTTGCCTCAGTGGCTGGTGGAGCGTTCAAAAAAGTTTCCTACGGCATCCAGGGCCTGAGTGGAGGGGTGGAGGCTGAACTGAGAGATGTCTCAACAGGATTGATGCTTTAGACACGACTTCTGCTGGCAACTCCTCTCTGTCCTCCCTGCACCTGAGAGGGGATGTCACTAAACACTCCAATCCTGGGCTCCCCTGCAGGTATCCACAGGCTTCCAGTGCAGCAACATGATGTCCGCCCTGCCCAGCAACTTCCTGGACCGCCTTCTCTCCACTGCCCTCATGGAGGACGCAGAAATCCGTCTCTTTGTTCTAGAGATTCTCATTAGTTTCATTGATCGTCATGGCAACTGCCACAAGTTTTCTACCATCAGGTGAACTTGGGGTCCCTCCAGCTGATGGGTGATGGGGGAGAAGACTCCCCACAGAGCCTGTCTTCTTGGCCAGTAGCCTCACACCAGGTGGGAGGACCATTCAGGTAATCAGTGAGACTCACCAGGGGGTTGATCACAGAGGTTGACCCTGGGGTGCTGGATAGGCAAGGGGAGGAGAGGCCTTGTGCCTGAGGGAGGAGGCTGTTATCTTCGTCAGGGTTTTCTAGAGAAACTGAACCAGTGAGAGAGAGATACATACAGGGAGAGAGAGATTTACTTCAAGGAATTGGCTCACTCGATTGTGGGGGGCTGGCAGGTCCGAAGTCTGAAAGTCAGGCAATGAGAAGAGTACAGAGTAAAGTTCTGCCAAAATATCTATTTACAGTCTGCAGGCAGAATACCTAGGGAAACTCCCTTTTCAACTGACTGACTGATTACATTTCACTGGATTACATTATGGGAGGTAATTACATTACATTATATTATGGAACAGCAACTAGACTAGTGTTTGGCCAAACAGCTGGGAACCATAGCCTAGCCTAGTTGACACATAAAATTAACCACCATAGTGGTGGACTGGAGATTTGGGAGATGAAAACAGATCCTAGAGTGAGTTTTCAGGTGAAGAGGGAAGAAGGAAATGTGGGGCTATCAGTGGGCACTAAGGGAATTTGGGGGAATATGATGACGAAGTGAATAATCAGGATCAAGATTTAACAGAAAGGGACAGGAACTTGAGAACTTGGGAAAAAATGGAGACTGAGCTAAGAAACAGAAGCACTAGGAGGGAACTAAAGCGGTGAGGGGCTTTGGCACAAACTAACAGTGTTGAGTAAAAAGCCCAATGACACCGTGTGAGGGCTGACCTCACACAAGGGTTAAGGTGGCCCCTCGCATCCCCTCCCAGTACCTTGAGCGACATCTCTGTCCTGAAGCTGAAGGTGGACAAGTGCTCCCGACAGGACACGGTCTTCATGAAGAAGGTAAGTGAGTGTGGCCTTGGATACAGTGAACACTGGGCAGGCCCGACCCTGCGGACCCCGACCTGCCAGCCCCCAAGTCACTGCCGACCACAAGGCCTGCCTCCTCCCCTTCACACGTGCTTAGTCAGGGTGACCAATGGACCCCTCAGAGGGTGAAGCCAAGGGCAATGCTCATCATGGAGGCTGGTGAGGAATACCCCTGGTGAGCCAGTCCAGGGCCATAGACTGAATTCTTCTCCTGAAACTGGATTTGTGCAGCAGCTTTTGTTGCTGGTTTCATTCGGAGCCCTCCTCCCCCAAACTCGCACACAGCATGTGCTCCCTTCCATTGGAGCCTGCCTTGTAAGGCGCCTACTCCCTGAGAGTGAAGACAGGCACACACCTCCATTCAGATTGGCCTTCCTCCCCCTGGTACTTGTTCCGCCTGTTCCCACCCCCCACATGGCCTGGCCTGGCCTCTGTCCCTACCCACAGCACTCCCAGCAGCTCTACAGACACATCTACCTGAGCTGTAAGGAAGAGACAAACATGCAGAAGCACTACAAGGCCCTCTACAGCTTGCTGGCACTCATCAGCATTGAACTGGCCAACGAGGAGGTAGTGGTGGACCTCATTCGCCTGGTGCTGGCTGTTCAGGTGGGTCTCGGTGTGAGCAGGACACAGGGATCGGGACCAGGGGGAAGAGGCCTGTTTTGGCCAAGCACTAATGAGAGTACAGAGTAACAACTGTTTACAGGTTGTTTTAGAGCCCAGCATTATTGCACTTTTGGTTGGCCCTTCCTCTGTGATGGAGACCCGAAACCATGGTCCTGTGTGGGAAACCACCGATGAATGCTTCATCCATGGCCTCGGCCCATCCTCAGATTAAAGGAGACCCAGAGGAACAGGGCCATTCAAAAACACACTTCAGCCCCTAGTATTCTAGGGGTCTCTCGGGGACTGAGTGAGACCCCAAGGATTCCCCAGAGGCTGCTATTAAGCCCTGAGTGATCCCAAAGCAAACTTATTTGTCTGGAGACCCTCTGGTTCCCAAACCGGGCTCTGCTTCAGAATTACCTTGAGCACTTGTTAAAAATACATACTCCCAATTCTGTCCCAGAGCTTTCAAGTTAGAGTCTCCAAGTCAGGGACCTGTTTACTTAACAAGCCCTATGTGATTCTAAGACAGCCAGGATGGCACTAGAAGGGACTATAGACTTCCTGGGTTTGCTTCAGTGGAAGCGTACTCCCTGGGATGCAGGAGCTGGGATGGGTCCTTCAGACCTCAATGATCAGGGTCTTCAGGGCCCTGAAGCTAAGCAAGTATCATATTCCTGAATTGTGGCAAGCCTGGGAATTCAGTGACGAGAGTCCTTAGCCACCTGATTGACAGTTCCCAATCCTGCCAACCCAGCTGCTACAATTTTCTAAATTCTGTCCACCCTTGAGAGCTAGAATTTGAGGATCTTTCATGTCTCAATTTCCTGGCAACTTCCACAACTTTCTCAACCTAACATATGAACCCAGTTTAGCCAGCCAACTCAGACCTCCAAGAGTCTGCGCTGGTCTTTAGAGAGGAGAAAACATTCTACTGGTGGGATTAATGATAAGGGTTTGGACAGTAAATGTCACTAAAGCCAGAACTGCAAAAATGAGGAATCGAAGTCATTGTCACTATAAAAACAACAGTTGCCGTCAAGTCAATTCCAGCTCACAGCAACCCCATGTGTGTTAGAGTAGAACTGTGCTCCATAGGGTTTTCAATGGTTGGTGTTTCAGAAGTAGATCACCTGCCTTTCTTCCGAGGCAGTTTTGGACAGACTTAAACCTCTAACCTTTTGGTTAGCAGCTGAGCGAATTAACCATTTACACCACCCGTGGATTCCATTGCCATTATATTCATAAAGTATTTAAGAGCCTCCCCACTCATGGGTTGTTCTAGGGACCATTCACTTTAGCTTTAATGGGGATGACACCTACCTCCTGGGAAGTTACAGGGCAAATGCTGAGGAAGGCTGAGTCTAGAAAAGTGAGCCATCTCTAAAGAAGGGTGATGAGAGGCTGGTGGAGGGTGAGGCACCGGTAGAGTTTGTCAGTTGAAAACTCTGGAGGTCCCTCTGTTGCCACAGGACGTGGCCCAGGTCAATGAAGAGAACTTGCCAGTGTACAACCGCTGTGCCCTCTACGCTCTGGGTGCAGCATACCTGAACCTCATCAGCCAGCTCACAACAGTGCCTGCCTTCTGCCAGCACATCCGTGAGGTTAGTGCCATCGGCTCATGTTTTCCTCATGCCCTCAACTCGGGATTTCGCAGCTCAACTTTCCCTGAACTGCATTAGCCCTGTGCTTAGTCTTAGTCATCGAAGAAGGGTTTGAAGGAAGTAATCATAGTGAGAAGTTACTGGAGGCAGCATTTCCTGTTCCTCTTGTGAGTGGGACTCCCCCATAGATCGTGACATGGCATAGCAGGTGGAGTCAGGCACCAAGAGTAACCTATACCCCTTCCAAACCTGCTACCTGCCCCCCCTACTTCCTACCCCTCTACCCCTCCCCTACTCACGGAAGCACAGACACACACACCCTCAGATCATGTGGGACTAAAGCTACTTCAAAAAAAGATTTTGCTATAAAAATTTTCAAGCATCACAAAAGTAGTGTGAGTAGAACAATCAATGCCCATATATCTATCATCCAGATTAAAAAGTTACCAAGATTTCCTCACATTCGCTTCATCTCTTCCCTCTTCTTTTTCTTTTCCTTTGCTGAAATATTTAAAAACAAATCCCAGCTGTCATGTTGCTTCACCCCTACATACTTCAGTGTGCATATCTAAAAACATACGGGCACTTTCCTACATGATCGCTATGCTAGTGACATTCCTAATTAAATTATCAATAAATCCTTGGTATTATCTAATACCCAGTCCATAATCAAATGTCAGTTGTCTCAGAGAGATCTTTTAAAACATACTGTAGTAGCATCACTAGGGTTGGTGTCACCCAGTGCGGTAACTCGGTGTCATACTTGCCCCCCCTGAGGTGGGCAGGGCTGGCCAGTGGGAACCCCCCTGGTGGGTGGAGCACCCCCATCCTTCCCAGCCCCGCCCCTCGGGGCTCCCCGCAGCTCCTCCCACTCCCATTAGCCAAGGTAGAGACCCTTCTCTCCACCCAATGGTGGGTGCTGCGGCCAGGCCACCCGCACCCTGATTAGCAGGTGACGTGGGTGATGGGTATCACCCCCCACAGTGACACCACTGCCTTGCGGCCCCTCCCCCAGCAGCACCGGCACACCCACTGCCACTGCCGCGGATCCTGGGGTCATTTTGGTGTCACCCCCCTAGTGATGCCACTGCTGAAGTATCTACAGGTGAAATGATATGATGTCTAGGATGAACTTTAAAATACACCAGCAAAACAAAACAAAAATCCCTGGGTCTTAGCTGGCCTGGGCTGGCTTTGGGTTGGGGGGCTGTATCCCTGCATCAGAGACCACCCCAAGGGAGGCCGGGCCTTCCCAGCCTCTGCCTGATAGGAGACTGCGAGAAAAGCAATCTTGGCATCCTCCTCGTTTAAAATAGTGGTGTCGCTGCCGACCCACCCCTGCTCATACTAGCAGGCCAGCTGTCCTCCCATTCCGCACTCTTAGTGACTTTGGTCTTTTGCTAAAATTTGCGAAAGATAACTGAGGAAAACTCCAGCTGTCACTGTTGCCTGGGGTGTTTCTGCAGTGCACCTGGGTATTGCGATGCATTGTCTGGGAAACGGTACCATCTGCATTCCCTTGTTACATGTTTACATAGAAAGCATAGGAGCCAGGAACTGCAGTTTCTCAGGAATGAAGGGCCCGTTTGAGGACACGTACGCACACGCATTGTGGAGGGCAAAGGCTTGAGCAGGCCACAGGGGCTTTTTGGGCTGCTCTGGGGTCATGTTCACCTGAATTTCTCAGTCAAAAAGCCCAGCTATGTGTCCTCTGCCAAGCAGGTTGTGGAAGGGGGTGAATGCTGAGACTAGGGGCGGGGGGCTCTTTCATCGGCCCATTCTAAGCTCCACCTTCTTGCCGGACCCAGGTCCTCTCATTCGATTCCTCCAAACTCCAGGTAATCGAAGCACGGAAGAAGGAGGCCCCATACATGCTCCCTGAGGATGTGTTTGTGGAGAGGCCCAGGTGAGGCTCACACCTGGGACCTGGTCAAGGAGACCCCAGGCAACTGGGTAAGGAGGTGGAAGGCTGAGGCCGGGAGAGGTCACCCAGACACCTGAGTGAGGCTCAGGCCTCTGTGGAATCAAGGGCAGAGAGTGGACCTTGTCAGCAGTGAGTTTATGTTAATGGTGGAGGAATGATTGAGAAAAGGAGGATGAGAATGGTTGTACAACTTGAAGAATATAATCAATGCCACTGAATTGTACATGTAGAAATTGCTGAATTGGTGTATGTTTTGCTGTGTATATGCTCAACAACAACAAATAAACACAAAAAATTATTTAAAAGAAGAAGGAAAGTGGACCCTGCCCATGGCCCAGAAGTCCTGGGTGAAGTTCAACCCCCAGACGTTCCTGTAATCCACTCCTTGCTCATGGTGCTGCACCCTGTGGTGTGTCGGACGCAGAGAGCGTGATGCATCCTCTGGGTAGCTTTGGCCAAACCCGTAGGAAATGCATCCGGGGGAATTGTGCCTGCCAAGTCACTGCCTGAAATCCAAGCGGCATTCTCAGACTACCGTCTGTGGGCTGATAATCACTTCAGCATCAGAGGAACTCAAGAACAGATATTCTGAAGAAACAAAATGCCCAACAACATGGGATAGGCTATATAAATTATGTATGGCCCAGTCATACAATAAATCGCTGAGAGCCCATCTGGGAGAATACTGCACATGAGAGAATATTCTCTACATATTAGATGACTAAAACAGAACACAGAGCAGGAATCGGGGGGAGTGTCTGCATAAATGTAGGGACTGAAGGGCTCTGCACAAACATGCAAATCGTGGTTATGTCCGGAAGCTGAGGCTGTGAGTGATTTTGTTTTTCTTTTGCTTCTCCGTCATTTTGTATAATGAACATGTCCCTTTTGTAATAAGGAAGTTACCAGGAAGTTGTTCCTGTTGCCCACGCTTCTCACTTGCCTCTCCCCTCCTTTGTCATCCAGGCTGTCTCAAAACCTTGATGGAGTGGTGACGGAGTTCCTCTTCCGCCAGAGCAAGATCAGCGAAGTCCTGGGGGGTAGTGGCTACAATTCAGACAGGCTCTGCATGCCCTACATTCCTCAGCTGACAGGTAGGGGCCGTGCAGGGACTGCCAACCCTGCCTGTGCCTTTTCTTGGCAGGGTAAGGGCCTGAGTGGAAGGAACTTGTGGGCCCTTCCATGGTCTTCCATGGCACCTTGGATGTCACACAGGAGCTGAAAACACAGTGGAAATCCATGGTGAGATCCTCTTGATTTCCCTTCCTCTGGTCCTCAGTTCAGGATCCTTGGAGGTAACTGGTCCATGAGATAGCCTGGCCTTGGATGGGAGAGGCCCCATTGCTGTGGAAAGAGCATCCATGGGCTATGGAATCAGACACCCAGCTTGAAACCTTTCTGCAATTTATACTAGTTGCCAAGGAGTCTCTTCCAACTCATGGCAACCCCATGTGTATCAGAGTAGAACTGTGCTCCATAGGGTTTTCAATGGCTAATGTTTCCGAACTAGATCGCCAGGCCTTTTTTCCAGAATACCTCTGGGTGAACTTGAACCTCTAACCTTTCTGTTAACAACATTAACCATTTGTACCACCCAGGGACTCCCTCTGCAACTAACTGCCCTAATAGTCTTAGACAAGTCCCTCAGCATCTCTGAATTTCAGTTCCCTTGACTGTAATAGAGGGACAGCGATAGTACCTGCCTTAGAGGGTTGATGTGAGGGGTGTATGACATAATGAAGGCAAAAGCACTTAGTAAATGCTCCATGACTGGCAGCTGCTGATGCTACTAGCAAGTGACACTCCCCACAAGTTGAGGTATGCTATCTGGTCATAAGCAGCTTCTTTGCGCTTATCAGTGACTTAAAAATCTTCACCCTAAAGAGCAACACTGGCCACCCTAGCTAGACAGAGATGGCCCAGAGTATACTAGAGGCCCCAGGTGTAGCCTAGTGTGCAGGAGCCCTAACAGCTGCGGGCCAGGCAGAGGTGGAGGATGGGAGATGAGAGTGGAGGCTCGCCGTCTTGGCTCCCCAAGACCCGGAAACTCTAGGGTCTGGGATTCTTCTTTTCCAGATGAAGATCGTTTATCCAAGAGGAAGAGCATTGGAGAGACCATTTCCCTGCAGGTGGAGGTGGAATCAAGGAACAGCCCAGAGAAAGAGGAGGTGAGTCTCCTATTCTTTACACTCTGTCCTGGTGAAGCCAGATTCCCCAGCGGGGGACCAGCTCCCACCTCCTGTGCAGTCAGATACTCGGTGCTCAGGGCTCCTTAGCTGCACGAAGCGTCTAAGGTTGTGTGAAGAGCAACTGTCTCAAGTAAAGCCTGTTTTCTCACTGACTCACGTCATACGTATCATAGACTTTTCCATCTGGAAATGTGCTTCCACCCTCACGAGGATGTCATAAAAATCACTTTGGGAAGGTTTGCTGGTAGCCACTCTCTATTCAGCAATGGAAGCAGACATACTCCATGTGGGAAATTGGAAGGTTTAATAGGAGAGTAAGGGTGAGAATAGCTCTCATGATGTTTTTTCCAGATGGATCAATAGGGATATTTGTTTATTTATTTTAGAGAAAGCCACAGCAGTGCCTTAAAGATCTCCCTTCTGTCCTCTCTTGAGGGCTATGAATGTCTAACTTCTGTTCACATTAACATGTCTGTCTCCCCTGCTATTATCTCATTTCTTCTACCTCAGAAAATAAAGCAGATGTACCCATGAGTAAGGGAGAATGAGGGATCACAGTGGAAATACTAAGCTGCCCCACCCCGCCTCACCCCAAATGAGAAAGAAACAGGAGAGGAGGTGGGAGAAAGGAGAAAAGGGTCATGAGGCAGTTAAAGCAACAAGATATTTTACACTTTTTTTAAAAATAATGGTTACTGCTCCAGTTAACAGAATTGACGGAGGTGCGGGGAGCCTCAACAAGAAGTGAGAAGGATGCACATCTGGGTAGATTGGGGCAGGAATACCTAAGTTGTCCCCTGGTGCGGGGCACCGACGGTTTTGTGTTTCGAGGTTTCTGTGTCCAGTAGGCTGGTTTAGTGGTGAAGGGCAGCCTCGGCACTGAGCCTTCCCCCTGGTGTGATGGGAGCAAGGAAAAGTCAGGAACAAGCCTCCCTCTAACCATGCCCTCAGCCACTTTAACAGTTCTTCTTTTATTGGGACAGACCTCCAGTCCAGGGCTGTTCAAAGCTTGTCTGGAACCTTCCCATGGAAGTAAGGAAGATTTGGGAAGTAAAAAGAGGAGGTTGAATGGAGTGTCCTCCAAGGCCCTTCCATCTCTAAAAGGCTGTGAACCTCAAATATGCTGGGGCCTCAGGGCTGTTTAGTTGGCCGCCCTCTTCCCCAGTGATGCTAATTCTCCTTTCCTAAGAATTAAGAGAATCTCAGGAAATGAGGAGTAAACCAGCCTCCCGGGTCAACAAATACAGGTTCCTTCCCCTCTTCAATGGTCTGCTTAGACCCTCCTCTCTGTCAGGCATCTGCTCTCCCACTCTGACTGGTCTCCTCACAACCTTCCCCATGCTCTGCCCATTTCCATTATCACATCTTTGCTAATACAGAATCACATGTTTGAATCACCCTTCCTCTCTACTTTGAGACTGAGTCCCCCTGTTCTTCAATGCCAAGCTCATGTTCCATTCCCTCCACCTAACCAAGGCTGTGGTGTTCTTTCTTTTTCTGGACCATCGCCACCACACAACTCCTGAGTACCTAGCGTGTGAATATCTGACATTGGCAGGTACTCTGACAGTAGACAGGTGGATGGATGTTGTCTTAGTCACCTAGTGCTCTACAACAGAAATACCACAAGTGGTGGCTTTAACAAAGAGAAGTTTATTTCCTCACAGTAAAGTAGGCTAAAAGTCCAAATTCAGGGCATTAGCTCCAGGGAAAGCCTTTCTCTCTTCATTGGTCTTCTTCTCATCAGTGTTCCCCTGGACTAGGAGCTTCTCCGCGCAGGGACCCCAGGTCCAAAGGACACGCTCTGCTCCTGGCACTGCTTTCTTGATGGTGTGAGGTCCCCCTGTCTCTCTGCTCACTTCTCTCTTTTATCTCAAGAGATTGCCTCAGGACACAATCCAATCTTGTAGATTGAGTCCTGCCTTACTAACGCAACTGTCATCCATCCTCCCTCATTAACATCATAGGGGCAGGATTTACAATATATAAGAAAATCACACAATACCAGGAATCATGGCCCAGCCAAATTGACACACACATTTTTGGGGGGACATGATTCAATCCATGACAGATGTGCAGGGTGAACCCTTAGAGTGAATTTTATTTATCTCAGCACAGCTCTGTCTTGCATGTAATTCCCCTGCTAACAAAGTTTGCCATTTCTACTGAGTGACTAGCCTAGAGTCCCACACATAACCCGTGCACACTTAATTATGTGTTGAATGATTTTATCCCATACCTACAACTTTGTCCTTTCCCTCTCAAAACATTTACTGAATACCAAACAGGTACACAAGTCAAACCCAATGAATCTTCACAAAGTGAACATACCCAAGCAGTCACACCCAGGTCTGGGAATAGAACACTGTCATCACCCAGGAGGAGCCCCATCTGTAAAAGAAGCCACTATCCTGACATATATCACTTCTTGAACTTTATATAAGTGAATCATTCTCTTCTGTATCTGCATCTTTCACTGAATATTATGTTTCAGTGATTGAGAACATGGAGCAAATCCTGGTCTTGCCTCCAGGAGCTCACAGGCTCATGGAGAATTGCTGGAATGTAGTCCAAACTCTTTTCAGCGTCTGACTGAAGTCCAGTCATCCATGGAATTGCTTTGTTTGAGTTATATCATTTCCACCTCCGTTTATAGACTTTGCAGAGGACTGAGGTCCTATAACCCAGGTCCTCAGACCAACCTCAGCAGTGGAGAGCACGTCGATTTTAATCTTCCATTTCTGACCTTTATTAAAAACTTAAATCACATCAGTAGGTAATTTAATATCATAAGTCTTCAAAAATATTCAGTTCTTAAAATTTATGTGAATATTTGCCAACTGCCTCCACTTCCAACATTTTCTGTTACATTCTCTGAAGGTTTATTTTAATTACACAGTGTTTTCCTCCCACGGGGCCTGATGGGACAAGCTTGAGGGAGGAGGAGTGGCAGTGGGTTTATGTAGATGAGACTTGAGACTCATTTCTGAGTCTGCATCTGATGAGGAATTGGCTCCTCCACCCCCATCTCATTTGTTCTCCTTAAATTGATGGTTCTATGCCTGCGTAGGGAGCTTCCAGAAACCCTGCTAAGAATGTGGTTGTCCTGAGGGAGTTTCTGACAGTGTCCCCATTGAGGACATTCTCTTGAGAAATAAAGGGGCTGCCAGATGAAGCCAAGGCTGCTCATTCCCTTCCTCCACCTTTCTGAGCATTTCTGTCCCCTCTCCCTCAGCGAGTACCTGCCGAGGAGATCACCTATGAGACTCTCAAGAAGGCTATTGGTAAGTTGGAGCCTGGAGGGACTTCTGCTGGGGGGTAGGGGGAGCTGCCTCTTAGGAAGTGCTCATGGGTATATGTATCCTGATCTGCTGACCTCCTGAGTGTGATGCAGCACGGATGTGAGGGATAAGTTGGTAGCTTCATCTAAACTCATCACAACTACCAAAGCAACCATGAGAAGTCTACATTCTCCAAATGGTGTCAATAAGTTGCCCTGTGTATCCTCTATCAGACAATCGTTTCTCTACCATGACAGCTGCCTTTAAAAATAATCAATGAAGAGTTACAGCTAGTCAGATAGGTCAAAAGCAATTTTCTATAAATATTTCGACTATTTTATGGTCAGAATTATTGGACAATGGTGTATTCCAAGTAAGAGACTATTTCTGATAACTGATAAATTATGCCTTTATATGCCAAAATTTTTTTATTTTAGTTGTCATTGATAATACTATTTCTCTGCCTTCTTAAACAGAGTGTGATGAACATATTTGACTTTTTTTTTTGCTAACTCGTTTAGCATACCAAGTGAAACGTGTAGAACCCTAAAACTAAATGTCCCCACACTGTGCTGCCATAGGAGTTCATGTGTTACCTTTGATAGTCTATCCAGCTTTGCCATTGTTGATGGAATTGGATGTCAAATTATCCCTGGATACTCCCAGGACCAGCTGTTCCATGAACTTCCGTTTAAGAGTCTTTGTGGCAATGCAGTTACTTGAGGCTTTAAAAGCCCAGCTTAGGGGTCCACATAACTAGTTCTCTAACTCTTACATGAGCAAGAGGATCAAGCCCTTGAAGAGTGTCAAGAAAAGGCCCTTCCTGGGCTGAAGGAGGGCCCCACAGCCTTCCATGCCACCATCTCCTACTGGTCAGCAGAAGGCAGGACCTAAGGGCTAACCCACTCTATGTGCTGCAGTGGACAGCGTGGCCGTTGAGGAGCAGGAGCGAGAACGGCGGCGACAGGTGGTGGAGAAGTTCCAGAAGGCCCCCTTTGAGGAGATTGCAGCACACTGTGGGGCCCGGGTAAGTGAGGCACAGCAGGGACAAGACCTCAGGGACCAGATTTGGGTCCAAGGCAGGACTGAGTTTCTAGATCTTGGTAACTTTTGTCCTTGAGAATTAAAGCTTAGGTTTCAAACATAGAGCTCTGTTGTTGCCGCACCAGGGTCTGCCCCAAAGCCTTGGCACAGCATTGCTCCCCCACAATCCAAAAGACTCAGACATATAATAATCTGTTATCTTCACAGAAGCACACCGCCACATCTTTCTCCCGCAAAGCAGCTAGTGGGTTTGAACTGCCAACCTTTTGCTTAGCAGCTGAGCGCTTTAACCACTGTGCCACCAGGGCTCCTTACTTAAATAGCACTTACTGTGAGCCACAGCATCTTATATTAACTAGTTTCATTGTCATGAGGACTCTATGAGGCAGGTGCCCTTAATGATCCCCACTTGATGAGTGAAGGGGAAGGGCCCAGGACAAAGGAAAGACAGACAATGTTTGCCACAGGGCCAGTCTTCAACCAGGGGGATCCTTGGAAAAGAGATTTGAAAGAGAGGCAGCCAGACAAGTAGAAATGAAGACTCATGTCTGGATTTAAGGGAGGAGCAGAAACATTTCTTGGATTCGTTAGGCACAATGTCAATCTTAATAACAATGAAATGTAACTGTAAACCTTCAAAATCTGCAAATAACTCATTTTTTTATTATACCTTTTCTTTCAATAAAAATTTAAATCATGTACAATTTTTATTGAAAGAAATAATTGAATAAAATAATTCAAATTACATAATTTGGATTTTTATATTTGATATAAATATAAGTAACTAACCCAGTTGCCATTAAGCTGATGCTGACTGATGGCAACTCCATGTGTGTCAGAGTACAACTGTGCTCTATAGGGTTTTCAGTGGCTGATTTTTGGAAATAGATTGCCAGGCCTTTCTTCCAAGGCACCTCTGGGTAGACTCAAACCTCCAAGCTTTTGGTTAGCAGCCAAGCACATTCACCATTTGTACCAACCATACAGGGACTCCTATATTTATATACGTGCACACACACGCACACACACATATTAAACAGATTTTCCTGGGCTTATATTATCCTGTCAACCCATCTTGGTAGATGCTACTCATTTCATGAGCTGGGATTTGAGGCCCAGTCACTGAACACATGCACAATCTCACTGTCTGTGTTCATAGACTTAGTTGGATCCAGAAGATCATCTTCTGTAACCTACAAATTTTTGCAAAGCTGCTCCCTGTGAGTTAAGCAGACACCTGGAACTAGGTCCGAGTCCCCTGACTTCTAGCCCAGCAGACCCTGTTGCCCCACTTCAAGGAGCTGCCTGCCAAAGGCCTACCTGCTCTCCCTGCCCTCTGTCCTGTTCCTAGCAGGCCTTTGCTGGGTGGCTCTGCCTGATCTGAATCTACAGTCAGGGTCCAACCTATAAGTGCAGGGAACTACCTCGTACCGGGGTCCTCTCCTAAGTCTGCACCTGCCCTGCACCTACAGTGCACACTCCAGAGAGGTGGACTTGTGGGCCAGCCAACAGAGGTTCTGGGGAGCCCATCCAGCTCACTTCCCTCTTTTTATGTCTAGGCATCACTGCTGCAGAGCAAGCTCAATCAGATCTTTGAAATTACCATCCGGTAAGTGACATCCCTGGCAGGGGACCCCCAACCTCTGTGGTCCAGGGTTGGGGCTTCTCCTCCCAAGTCTTCCTCTCATACCTGCCTTTAGCCCCCTACCCCCTAACCCCAGGGCTGGAGTCAGCCACTGACCCTCCCCAGACAAGTAAATAGAGATTAGAGGGAGAGAGAGACAGGCTCAGAGAAGAAGAGCAGGAGTCCTAGTGTCCCAGACTGCTGCTTTCCTTTCTAAAGCAACGATATCAGTGTAGGGCCTGCAGTGAAGCTTGACTTCAATCTATAGATCCTAGAACTATAGATTCTAGAACTACTCGAACCCTTGGGAGCCCGTGGAGCAGTCCCTATGGAAAGAGAGGCCCCAATCAGCTGCTCTGTTTCATTGCACAGGGGTGGGACTCCACAATTCCTTCCTCATGCCTTTCTCCTCCATACGTTCCTGCCCCCAACAGGCCCCCGCCGAGCCCATCGGGGACCATCACCGCAGCCTACGGTCAGCCTCAGAACCACTCCATCCCTGTCTACGAGATGAAGTTTCCTGATCTGTGCGTCTACTAAATTCCAAGAGACTGTGCTCCTGGGAAGGATGGGGCCTGAGGAAGGGGCATGCCCTCACCCCCGCCCCTGTGATGTGGAAATCTAACTGGATCTTAGAGAAAAATGGTGCCTTGGATGGCAGCACCTTCCTAGCTAAGCCAAGGTCCATATTTCAGGCCTTCTCGTGTTCCCTCTTGGCCCTCCTGCCTCCTCCTCATCTTCCCCAAGGGAGATTCAGCTGCCTGCCCCTCAATAAGAATCTCATCTGTACCCTTTGTCTCCTCTTTGGTATCAGCCAGAGGCAGAGAATCCTGGGAGGTGCCTCCACAGAGAGGCTGAGGGACCTAAGAAGCCCCCACTTAGTATAGTAAGTGAAGGGCTTTCACTGGGAGTGGGACTACAGGGACACATCTGCCATCTCCAGAGAAGGGACTGGGAGGAGAAGGGCTCAGGAACTAGGTGGGGACATAGTGAAAGGAAGCCATGGAGTACAATCTGGAAGAACAGAGGAAAGCTTCTCTTGTAATGAGGTGACAACGTCAAAAGCTGGAAGATGGGGTTGTTACTCCCATTCCGAGCATTCCCCTCCCTCAGTCCCCATTTGAGGGCCTAAAGTCCCCTAGTCATCAGTGTTTCTTCCATTCTCTTGCTCACCCTGCTAGTTGTCTGTTTATATTCCTTCCTATTATTAAACAACATTGAGCCCTCATAGCAGGAGCAAGGGGTAGAGACACCATGGGGGTAGAAAGGGTGAAATGAAGGGTGAGTGGGTATGGGGATAGAGGGCTGCTTCTCCCAGGCTGGGCAGCTGAGCCAGGGAGCATCCCTGTGGGCCTTGCTCCTGTAGAAGAGTAGCAAGCAGAAGTGGGACAGTTTTGTCCTCTGTAGCATCTTCTCACTTCCTTTGTTCAAAGGGAGCTTGTTAGGGCCCTCTCATGGTTCTTTCCCTTCTGGATGTTTCTCTGAGTTGGGTTCTCTCTCTTTGATATGTTTCTTCCTGATGATCCCAAGGTATTTCTAGAGCCTCTGGGTTGAGGGAGGACAGAACAAGATAATCTGGTTCTCAATGACTCAAGAAAGAGGAGGTACTGCAGGGCACCCCCTGCTGGAAGAGGCCCCCAGCCTTGCCTGGGTGGGGGCCAGGCAGAGGTAGTAGAGGGTTGGTTGGGATGAGTGACACTTTGAGTCTCAAGGATGTCAGAAGTCAACCTTTTGGATATGCCATTTGAGGAAAGAAGGAGCTAGCAACTAATGTTGGAATGATTTCTTCACTATTTGGATGAAGTCTGGGACATCTGTGCCAATCGACAGAGCTTGTGGCCTGGAAAGAGCAGTGGGAACCGCTTTGGGCTCCTGGGTTTTCCATTTTCCCTGAGTGTGCCTGCTTGTCTCTGTGTGACCAGCGTGTGCAGAGGAGGAGTTGATGCGAACACAGCAGAGCCACGAAGGAGGCTGTTTGCTCCTCTGTCTCCCATTTCCCTCTCTGATTCCGCCTTCCAGGTGCCTTTACCCCCAGAACCTTCTCTGGCAAAACCTCACACCTAGGCCACCTTCCCGTGGCTGTACCCTGTGGTCTTTTCTTCTCTTCCAGTCAAACTTCCCACAACTCTTAGAGCTGATGTAACTCACAGGCACTGGAAGGTGTGAATGGTTGAATGGCTCCTCCCTGGAGAACATGCTTTTTAGAAAGAGGGAGGATAGGTAGACTTCTTGACCCAGAGCAATCTCTGTTTAGGGTACAATGTGAGGCAGTGGGTATGCGGTCAGAACAGCCTGTGTGCCAAGGGGAGGGGAGTCCCAGGACACCCCTCAGGTCCTACCTCTGCACGGAGCCTTGTTCTGATGCACAGCTAGAGAGTGATTGTTAGGACAGATTGGTGTCTTTTCCACCGGGGAGGACCTTAACATACGCATTTTCCCATTATCTGTGCGATAAATTTCCTGGGCAGGGGGCGTATCTGACCCTCGTTACCATAGTTTCCACACTGAAGATGACACTTTTCCTCCTGGTCACTCCCTCTGTGCTGTAGCATGTGGCTCTGAATGGCCTGCACAATGACGAGGCCCAAGGCCAGGGCCCGTGCTGTCCCCACAGTGCTCTGGCTGTGCTCTAGGGCTTTGGCATATGCCCAACCCAACTTTCCAAGCATGATCTTAGATTGCTCTTTAATATCTCTTTGCTAAGAAACCAAGTTTAAAATAACTTTAAGGTAACTTTAGTCCAAACAACTTTTGGAGCAAACTTGAAAGAAAATCTAAATCCTGAGCTACAAATATGCCTTCCTTCATTGGTTCTTTCCATCTTTTAATCCTATGCTTGACTTTGGTGAGTGAGAGATGCTCTGTTTCTTTCTTGTGTCTGCTTGACTTCAGTGTCCACCCCATGACAACTTCACCCTGCGTGCTGCCCATAGGGTCCCTGTTTTGGGACTTGGGAGTCATTTCCCTGGTGCCTTTTTGTGGAACCACCATGGGACCCAGAGACCGCCGGTCCAATTAGATGTTTCTGTCCCTCGCCCCCTCCCGGGACGAGAAGACAAAGGCACAGAGTTCCCATTCTGCACAGTTTCAACCTGCTGTTCTTTTCCATCAGTCCTAGGCAGCTTTTCCTTTTCATCACCTCTGTGTAGCAAAAAGGCATTTCTTTTGGCGAACTGGCCATTTTTGAGTGCCGCCTTCTCCGTTTCAGTTTAAAATTACCCTCAGTAGGATACTAGACTGCCTGCTGACATGGAGTAGAATTTGGATTCTTGCCAAATATGCCTCAGAATCAGAGAGTTTAAGGTGAGGGTTATCTTGAACAGAAAATGAAATGGTAAACAGTCTCCTCCACCCCACCACAAGGCCTGGGAGAGAGTGAAGCAGAGTTTGATGGGCTCTCTAAAAGGGAGAAAGGTGCCCGGGCCCTTGGCCTAGCATCACTGCTTCCTGTCTTCCTAACCCTCTGGTGTCTAGCAGCAGGATTTCATGTGACCAGCCCCTTTTTTTGCCACCTTTCTCTGTTGTAGATTTGAGCCCAAAGGATTCAGCAGGCTCATTCAGATCAGCTCCTCCCCAGAGCTGAGGACTCTTGCTTTGTGGGCAGGGGTAATGTTGGTGAGCATTTTGCTGGTAGAACTTAATAGACGTAAATGTACTTGTGAGTCCGAAGCTCCATTAGGTTGGATGAGGCATGTGAGTGCGTGAGAAGCAGATCAGCAGGAGTACCAGTGTGATCCTGCAGGCTCCTTCTGTTCTCCTTCAGTGGGGTCCCCAGTGCCCTGTGCTGGTGCCATTTCCCTCTCTCTTTTAAAAGCAAGAGTAAGTGGTTTCTTGACCCCTAAACAGCCTCCTCACCAGAAAAGGAGCCTGAGCAGGTCAGAAGAACTAGAAAAGTTCTCAGATGTGCTCCTCTGTCTAGTCCCTCCCCCTCAATGTATAAATCTAAGTGGGTGAGCAGTGAAAAGGTGGGACCTGGGACGACTGAAGTACTTGAAGAAGTGCAAGGGGCCACATAGGCGCTGCCCTTTGCCCTGGGTGTTCTGGGTCCTGAAGGACACATTTCAACTGGACTCAGAATTGGAATAGTGCTGGGGGTTATGTAAGTGGCTCAAGGCCAATCTCTGGGCTTCACAGGGGGCCCTGGGTCTCAACGCCTTCCAGTTGCCATTCCACTGCCCCAGGTTTTCCTGCCTGGCACAGTGAATGCATATTTGTGCTGAGAAATCCCTGAGAAGTGAGGCTGTTTTCCCCAATTCCTCTTCATGACCAAACAACAGAAGCTGGCCAGCTAGGGGTCTAGGGGAAAGGACTAGATCTGAGCAGCTCTAGTGAACACTGGGTTTACAGGTGAGCCGGGGAAGCCATGTCATCAGGGCAGGCCATGCCTGCTTCGTGTGATCTAGAGACTTGCAGGTGGGCCATGCTGAAACAAGGCATCTTCCTTACACCTGAGGGGAAGGGTTAGGGCAGCTTGTTGCCCCTTCAACCTATTAACCTCAGCATCTTCTGGTTAAAATAACCCTTAGCCCCAAATCAGACCTAAGTGAAGACTGCAGAAGGACAGTCATGGGGGCTTGTCCTTGAGCCTGGCTGAGAAGCCGTGGTCAGGAGGAGACAGGGCAACACAAGGAGCTCTGTGGCCCTGTTGGGGCTAGAGGCAGTTATCTGTTCAGGAGAACTTGGGGCCTTAGCCTATCACCTTCCCCCTAAGCTCTTCCTCCACAAGGAGGAGTTGTAAACCCACAACTGCTGCTGCCCATCTACTGTTAACATGTCTATGCCCATTTAGGCCAGCAGGAGCTGGCTGAGTGTGTGTGTGCTTATGCGTGTGCATGTATACATTTTAGTTTATAGTGGAAGTGATATGTATGTAATAGCTGATGTATTTATATGTGAGTGCAAAATCAGTGCCCGTGGCAGTTTTCTGTATTTTAACTCATTGAGTCAAATTAGTTTTATTTTAGAAACAGGGAAAGGGGAGTCGGGGGATGTAGGAAGAAGGACTCTTCGCATAAACTCATTATTTAGGACAATTAGTCGTGATTTCCCAATGAGCCTTTATGATGCCCTTTTCAAATAAATGTTAATGTTGTCACCACATGGCTGTTTATTTCATTTCTTTAAAGTAAATGGTTTGGGGATATGCAAACAGATCTGAAAATACCAGCTTTACGGCTGACATTTAGCCACCCCCACGGACCATTACTTTACTTGCCTCAGAGGAAGGAGGGAGGAGAAAGGATGCTACCAAGGTGGGAATATAATGCCCAGGATTCCCAGCATGGGAACATCCTCACATAGGAAGGCTGGGGCCCATTTCTTCATTCTAGCAACCAGAACCGAGCCTATTCAATATAACCTGCATTGGGGGAGACCTTATCTTAAGGATCTGGATGACTTTCTGACTCCCCTCACATCAGGACTTCCCAGGGTGCATTCCCTATGTTGCTTCTTTAACTGTAAAATCCTAGAGCATCAAAGCATGAGGAGATAGGTTAGATAGATAGACACACAGATAGATGGAGCTGCTGTCGAGTCGATTCTGACTCATGGCCACCTTATGCACAACAGAACAAAACATTGCCTGGTCCTGCATCATCCTCACGATCACCAGCATGTTCAAGTCCATTGTTTCAATTATTGTGCCAATCCATCTCCCTCACCCTCACTGGCTCTCTCCTTCACCAAACATGATGTCCTCTTCCAGTGATTTACCCTTCCTGAGGACATGTCCAAAGCAAGCAAGTCAGACAATGTTCTGTTGTGATCCATAAGGTTTTCATTGGCTAATTTTTGGAAGTAGATCATCAGGCCTTTCTTCCTCATCTGTCTTAGTCTAGAAGCTCTGCTGAAACCTGTCCACCATGGGTGACCCTGCTGGTATTTGAAATATTGGTGGCATAACTTCCAGCATCACAGGAAGACATAAGCCACCATAGTGTGACAAACTGACAGACAGGTGATGGATATGTATATGTAAGTACCACACACCAGTATTTCCAAGCTGGCTTTGATCTATACCGTCCAAGGTATGTCTACTGCAGTTGATATGTGTGCATCTCTCTATATAAATATTTGTGATTTGTAAATGTGCATGCCTGTGGCCCCAGCATTGTGAAAACACCAGGCAAGATATAAAAGAAATACACCACCTGGCTTCTGCCCTTGTGGAGCTTATAGTTTCCCTGGGAGGAGAGGACAGACATACATGCAGAAAGTAACTTGCCATCCAGGGCGAACAGCAGGCCCTCCAGTGCAGAGGGGGCTAATGCAGAAACACGGAAATGATCAGGTTCGGCTGGAAGAGATGATGACTTTCCCAGAAGAGAGGGGCTTGAGCCTGGACTCCTGTTGAAGAAAGGGTAACATTTGAAATGAAATGGCAGCAGGGGTGGGAGCATTCCAGGCAAAGGGTAAAGGAGGGTGAGAGAAGGCCAGTGAGGAGACTACGTGTGCGGCAGAGCCTTCATCCGGGGAAACACGGGAAAGCACGGTTAGGTAAGGGAATGAGCTCCGTTGACAAGGGCCCTGCATGCTATCCCAATAGCTTGGAATTGAAGGAAAATTGGCAGGGAGTATTGTGCAGAAAGCAAGGTTTCTTATGCATTATTATGAAGGATTTGTGTATGATGGGTTGGGGAGGAGAGTGCCTGGGGACAAGGAGATCAGAGAGTTAGGAAGCTGCTGTGATAGTCGAGGCCTGATCAGGGAGCACGGAGAATGAAGAGAAGGGCTGGAGCTAGGCAGCATTCAAGGGAGGAGCTCAGGCACAGCAAGGGGGAAAGGAGAGCCTGGGGACCTCAAGACCTGGGCCTGAGCAGCCGGAAGGAGCATCAGTATGTCTGCACTTGTGTATATTGTACTGTATTTACACAGATGTGTACATCTCTGTGCGTGTATGCATCTGTGGGGGTGAGACATGTATTTGAAAGAGAGTATCTGTGAGAGGCCTGGAAGTGTGGCCAAATTCAAACTGATACCAACCCTCAGCTTTTCAGTAACGAAAAGATGATCACATCTGTTTTTTCATTTAATCCTCAGAATAGCCCTCATATTAGGAGGGGAGGGGGCAGATGAGAGATCTCAGTCCGGACGAAGTTTAGAGGACTGCCTAAGGTCACACGCATAGTCCTGAGCACAACGGGACTGCGATCCAGGCCTTCCACAGCTTCCTACCTCACAGCCCAGACAGACACCCCACCCCCGGGTCGTGGGCCGTGACCCACGTCTGGTTGGCTTTTGGAGCTGGACAGGAACTGGGGAGACCCTGAGGCCCCTGTGGTCACTTGTGTAGGAATCATTGTCGAGCGGTCTTCCACCCAATGGAAGCAGGTGGGAAACGTGGTCATCCTACGGGTGCTGGACTCCTCCCACGTTCCAAATTTTATTTGGAAAAAAGTCAGTTTGATGTCTATACCAAGGCAATCACAAATGGACAACATAATAAAGTTTTTCATAGCTCTGTCTGTACAGCAGCCTCAGATCTTTCCTAACATTAGCTAGCCCAGCTGCTGCCCCCTCAAGAAGTTGGTGGATGCATTTGTCTCTCCAGGCAACACGGTCTGTGACCGTGCTGGGCAGCGCCTAGAAGGCTCCTAGGAGTGGAATGAATAAAGCTACTGCTTCATTACCACAGAATATGGACACCAGCAGTGACAATAACACAGTAATAAAGTCTCTCCCTAGAACTGTCTGCCCTGACCCGGTTGGTCAGTGAGGTCTCTGTGGGTACACAACTCCTCTCCCCACGTGGCTCCTCTCTGGAAGTCCAGGGTCCAAGGCCCAGGCACCACTTTGTGGACTGAACTCCCAGGTTTTTGTTGTAGGATGCTCAGACTCCCACGTGACACCTGGTAAGGCAGCTTTTCCTTCCTGCTGAGTTCCGTAATGGCAAAGAAGTTCTGGACAGCTTTGGGCAATGAAAGATGGGATTCTGAGGGCAAGCATCTGTTATGAGCTGTGGAATTTGTATACTACTCCATCTTCTGTCTTGAACTGTGTATGTCGTCAGTGGTTTAATCTACTGCTTGAGGGCAGGGTTTTATCTTGCTGAGGTCCTGCCTGGGTCCCACCTCTTGGCTTCTAGTCCTGGATGTACCTACAACTTGCCTATCAAGTGACTTCTACAGTAAATGATTTTTCCAAAAGCGTTTAAATACGCACTTTGCTTTTCAGAAGGCAAAAGGACAGTGATATGGACAGAGAGTCACCTGGAGACATCAGCATTCCAAACCATTTGGTCCCTTGACGGCCCATGTATGGGGATGGGGGGAGGGGTAGAACTTATCTTCCCATTTTCACGATTCTATGCCTTATGAAACATACTTCAATAGGGTCACATGGAAACCATTCTATCGTTCCTCCCCTATATGCTGCTCTTTTTTGATGCATATGTATTTTTATTTTATTCACCCAGTCTACATTCAAAGTCAGAGTCAGATATGAAATTTGAAAGGTTTTATTTCTTAACTACAGACAGCTTTAAGGGGCTGAATGCCTGCTGCTATCACCTCCGGAGAGAGTACCACAGCGAGGCTGGGAGGCGGCAGGCGGCAGGGGCAGCGAGGAGAGGGGGCTTTGGGGCCGGCTTCCCGAAGAAAGAAGCCCCACTGCGCCCTCACTGGCCCTTCTTGTGGGCGTTCTTGATGATGGCGTTTTTGAACAGCGTCACGAGAGGGGTCTGGCTTTTCTCAGAGGTCATGAAGCCGCCGTAGCGCTTGTCCTTGGGCGGGCTGCCCCAACGGAAGTGCTCCATCTTATAGGGCCCCTCGTCCTTCTTCTCGGCTGACGCTGCCTCAGCCTCTGCCATGATGCCGTAGTCCAGGTCGGCTCGGGTCGCTGCGCCCTCGGCAGGGCCTTGGGGGCCGCGTGCCGGCTCGCGCCGCTCCCTAGCCAGCTCCCTCTTGAACTCGAGGGGGAAGGCCTCGGCCGACTCGTCCTCGGCGCCGTTGGGGTACACCTTCACCGGGCGCCTCTTCTTGCCCACTGGCTTGCCCCAGCGGAAGTGCTCCATGGAGTAGGAGCGCTTGCCCTCGCGCAGGCCCGGCTCAGCGCCATCGCTGCGTGACCCGGGGCCAGCCGCAGGCAGCACGTCGCCGACATCGCCCTCCGCGAACTCCTCCTCGCGCTTCTGCCCCGTGCTGCCACCGCTGCTGCCGTTTCGGCGGCCAAACCTGCCCCAGCGGAAGTGGCCCATGACATACTTCCGGGGGTTCTCAGTCAGTGGCTGCTCCTCGCCGTTGCCGGTGAACACGGGCCTTTCAGCTGACAGGTCCGGCTTGCAGGCCTGGATGCACTCCTGGGTGGGGGAGAGACGCATGGACGTGAGGGTAGCCCGGGACCTTCGCCCAGTCCTGCCGCAGCTCCCCCAAACGGGCCTGTGCCCCCTGCGCCCGCGGTCCCATCATGTGCCACCCACTGAGCCTCCTGTGCCATGTTATGTTTCTAGGCTTTTGCTGTAATGGGCCTCCTACTGGGAATGCGTGCCCACCCTCCTTCTTGGCATCCACTGGTATCTTCTAGGACTCAGCAAGGACATCTCTTTTGTCCCCTGGACCCCGTGCATACTTCTGCATGGCAGCAACCATACCCCATCCCACTCTGGTTTACCAGTCTATCCGTTCATAGCTTTTATGAGCCGGGTCAACATCTTGCTGTTACATGCCTGATAAATAGGAATTGCTCAATAAATGGTAGGTGGGTGGTATTTGTTGGTACACAATAACTGTTTAATAAATATAGTTCAAGTCTGGGAGGGGTATTGGGTAGAATTTGGGGGAAGAATCTCTCCAGGTGGTGGAAATCTGGCTTCTTGGGCCTATGTTTTCCATAATGCCTCAACCTTGTCCCAGTGACCTGCAAACCTACCTCATGGCCTAACCCAGCCCTGTCCCTGCTCCACAGTTCAAAGCTTTCCTGCACCCACCTGGCACTTTTTCAAGTCTTCTGAGTTGATCTCCCCTGTGCATTCCCCAGTCACTGTGCTTGAGGGGGAGAGGGCTCACTCCCTGTCACCTCATTCTGACTGGTGGGAGGTATGAAAAGCCAGGATTGTTTCCATTACACAGGTCATGGAGCCTATGTCCCTGGTCCCTTTCCCTAGAGGACTCAACTGTGGTATTTCTTTCAGAAAATGACACTTAGGTGGCAGCCTTGAGTTTTCAGTTACTCGGGGACTGCAGAAGAGGAAACAAAAGGATCCCACCCACTCTGTAGAGTTGGGAATTTCCTTCTCCAAGGATTTAGAATTACAACACTGCAGAATGTTGACAGTGGAAAAACATTTAAAACCATCTCGTTTAAATCCCCTCCCCTTCACTGGACAGAGATGAAACAGTAGGCTCCAAGGGTGAAAGGAACTGACCAAGGCCCCACAGCCCTGACAGAACTGGAACCAGAACCCATAGGCTCTGACTGTGTCCAGTGCTCATTCCCTCAGCAGGAAAGGCTGGGTAGAGGGTGTCTCAAATCAAGAGTCCCTTGAGTCTCCCTGAACTGCAGAATCCCCTGGGTTTTTTTTATTTTTCTATTCCACATGAAACCTATGTGTCTGAGAAAGTCTCTCCCTTCACGTTAACTCAGCTTCTCCATTGAAAACTACAGAATGTAGTGATGTGGATTCCACCCTTACCTGGCAGGTGCTGGCAGCAGGATGAAATCTTAGTCACTGACACCTGCAGTCTGTCTTTTAAGAGTATCATTTCTCATGTACACCCCCTCACCAATACAAACACACACACACACACACATTGCAGTGAACTAGAGGGAGCTCCAGCCTGGCTCAAATGGCCTTTACATGCTCCTGGGAAAGCTGCAGATGAACATGGCAGAAGGCCAGCCCTCCAGAAGAAGCATGAGACATTTGACACCAATTAGAGGAAAACAATACCTTGGTTTTTCCTTCTCCCTCTAGAGGCGATTTGGAGAACTGCCTACCTGGCTTTTGTAAATGGTAAATCAAAACCAAACCTATTGCCTTTGAGTCTATTCCGACTCAGAGCGACCTGATAGGACAGAATAGAACTGCTTCCATAGGGTTTCCAAGGACGTAAATCTTAACGGAATCAAACTACCACATCTTTATCCTGAGGAGCAGCTGGTGGGTTTGAACCACTGACCTGCTGATTAGCAGCAGAGCCCTTAACTGCTGCACCACCAGGGCTCCTTTTGTAACTGGTAGTACAGGTAAAGGGAAAAGGACATGGAGCGGAGAGGATAATGATATGAGATTATTTAAAAAGGAACGCTTTGTAGGCTAAAAGATTGAAAACATAGGATCAATTGAGGGAGTAATTATTGTTATTACTGTTATTATTATTTTCTTAATGATATACTAGAGAGGCAGTATCTCTAAACAAAACGTAAGTGGTGTGGGTCTCCATACAAGAAGACCAGGCAAGAAATAAGGACAATCAAGCAGAAATTGTAGACTAGACCCATCTCCAAGAAGCTGCCTTCTCCCAAAATTGACCCATTTCTGACTTCCCCCCAGAGCTCTGCCCCTGCCCTAGGTTGAGTCGCTTCTATCACTGGGAATGAATTTCCCCTTCCCCACGCCCCTTTCTTTTGAGCCGTCTGAGCCCCAGCCCCAGGGTCATCTGATGCCCAAACCAAGATGGCAGCCGTGGCCCACGTACCAGCAGGTTGCTTTCCGTGGTGAGGTCCTGACACTGGCTGCTCTCCAGGCACCAGCCACGCACTTCCATGGAGGCCTGAAGCAGCAAGGCCAGCAGCAGGGCCCCGGAGCGGCTGCCGCAGGATGGAGGCATCTTCCAGGCAGGCTGTAGCTCTGCGGAGACAAACAGGGTTGGTGGGACCCCTGCAAGGCGCAGAACAATGTTGGCCACTCACCAGGAAGGAGCACAAGCCAACATTAACAACACGCTCGACTGTGGAACTCAAGGCTTTTTGAGGACAGGAGCAGTGCTGAGGGGACCAGAGGTGTGAGGGGTGGCCGGCAAGCTGTGGTAGGGAGGAGGGGAGCAGGACCTGGGTAAACCACAGGCAATCCTTTCCTTTATCTCCTGTGAGATCAGACCCCTATGAGGTTAAGGCTGGAAGCCATTTTATGATCATTTGGTCCAGCCCCTCATTTGAGAGATAGGGGAAATTGAGGCCCAGAGGGGACCAATTACTTGCTGTTCATGACAAGGGAAGGCTGAGTTCTCCTGTTGCCAGCACAAAAAAACAAAAACAAAAAACAAAAAACAAACCCGTTGCTGTCAACTCAATTCCAACTCACAGTGACCCAATAGGACAGAGTAGAACTGCCCCATAGGGTTTCCAAGGAGCAGCTGGTGAATTCAAACTGCCAACCTTTTGGTTAACAGCTCAGCTCTTAACCACTACACCACCACAGCTTTCCCATTTCACCACCTGCATGAAGTTGTAGTTCTAAAGCTTCAGATCCAAGGGGCAGGCTGGAAGTAACTTGGGAAAGACAAAGGACTCAAAATTCCTGTTCCAGATGGCCTTTCTCCCTCCTCCTCCAGCAGGATCCTATCATTCCCCTGAAACTCTATTTCCTGTTAATGTTAGGTTTGCATACGAGCAAATAACACCTCTGACAAATTTAGTCAAAACCTCAGCCAATCTGATTTGCTATCCTGTACACAGCTCACTCAGGTGATCACTGTTTCCCAGAACCCAGTAACTTTGGAGAGAGATGTTTTTAATGTGGGCCCTCATCACTCCCAGTACCACCTATTCTCTTAACACTGGGCTATCCTCTGACCACATTACATGTCAGATCTCTTATTCTCTAGGTCTCTCAAATGTAGTCTGAAATAGCTGGACTTGAAGAGTGTAGATGTGAAGGGAAGGAGATGGACAGACAGAGAAGGGAACCACCTCCTACTGTTAGTACCTACCAAAGAACTTCCAGAGATTCCAGGAAGTACCCTTGGGTAGATGCTGAGGTCAAGAGGTCAGGATGCAGCAAAGAGGGAAGCAGTCAGGAGGGGAGCACCAACAGTATCTCTTGCCCTCTTGTGCCCAACCCTTTCCCCACATCTCTAGTGCTCTCACGTGACCCTGTTCCCCTCACCCAGGTCAGTTCCCCTGAAGCGACTGGAGCTTTTGTAACCACCCCACCAACAACAAACCTATAATCATTTTCGATTTCAGAATATCTTCTCAGCCAGCTGTTGGGAAGGAACCTAATTAGATGAGAAACGCAATTCACATTAAGGTGTGGAAGACTAATTGTTTTGTCACTCCTAATGAACATTTGCATTTTAAAATAAGTTTGCCTAAAGAAATCTCTCTTTTGTGTCGATGTGGGCCAAATCTTTTTTTATAGGGGAGGTTTTGGAAGCAGAAGTCCTTCCTGGCCCTCATTGTCCACCTCAGGAAGCCACTTCCTTCTCTCTGTCCCACCCTCCCCCCATTCCCAAAGACCTGGGTCAGCTCATGACTCCTTTCAGAATGGCGTTTTCAGAGTAGCCATTAGATGGCGCTGACAGCCAGTGAGTCGGCTGGGCAGCATCTTAGGCTGAAGGGGCAACTGGAAGAGAATTGGTCGACCTTGACATCCAGTAGTGAACCGGGACATGCTGGTTCTGTTGTAGCCTGCTGGTGCTCCAGTCCAAGTACGTAGCCCAAACTTGGTGGACAAGGCAATTTAGATTAAAGTTCTGAGACCACACAACACATTTGGGTCAGAAAAATGCCCAGGTGCTACAGGAAAAGCAGGGAGATGATAGTTATTGTCACTATGGGCCAGTGTAAAATAACATGTGTAGAGAAAGAAGTAAAATGATACAGGTCTGACAGTCTCATCAACTATATTTCACCCTTCTCAAAGTTGACCATTCTAGAATGACTTCCATTTTCTAAAAACCTACCTCATGATTTCAGCCCCTCCTGAAAAGCCCCAGAGAGCATGTCCTCTCCTTCTGCACACTGCTTGTGTTGTACAGCATGGTAATATTCTCACTTCCCACCCTCTCTGAGCTCCGTTCTACTGCTAAAATGTTAGTTCTGAAAGTAACTTTTCTTTTTGCTTATGTGTATTGTCCATTTTTCTACAAGGAACAAGCATCACCTTGTGTCATTTTTTAAAAGTAACAAAGTAATAGAGAGATGTTGCTTGTTCACATGTAATTGGAAGGTTTGGACAAATAAATAGAAATTTGCAATTTTTAATGTCGACATTTCTATAGAAAAACTACACTTATCAGAACCTTCTATGTGCACACTGGCCACGCCTTTCTGTAAAGACTAGAGGCACAGAGTTTAGTCCTTGCACTATTACACATGCATTAGGTCCTATAACGAAAGTGTCAGAGGAATATTATATCACTTATTTATCCACCATTGGTACATACCTCAACAATTGATGGAACAAATGCACACTTCCCTTGGCTGCGCTCAGTCATTCCTGGAGATCCTCCTCCTTCCCCCATCCATGAAGCATATACGTCATTTAGGGAATCCAAATGTCCTGCAGACCTTCCTCCTTCACTGGAAACCCCTTGCCTGAGCCTGGGTCGCTCAAATGGCTGCCCGCCCGCTCCCCAGCCTAGGGTCGCCGGGAGAGACTTCCACTCTGTGGTCGGGTGGAGGGCACCTGAAGCCAGATAGCGTGTTTCAGAACCTTGGACAGCCCCCACTACGGCCACCTGTTATCAGCGCCAGAAGGGTCTTGGAGAGGATGGACTCGGCTGCCCTGCCGTGTAATGGACACAAGAATCACGTCATTGTCATAGCGCGGTCACGTCCGGTGCGCCAAGGTGGGCAGGGAAACGAGGATCCAGGGCTCTGAGTCCAAAAAAAAGTCTGGAATGCAGGCAGTTGATCGTGACTTTTAACCTTTTCTCTCCTGCCCCATTTCGAACATTAATTTGCTCTAGAGTATAAATTATTTGACGCCTACCCAATAAATCGGGAGGACGTGGAGCCCAAATCCCGACTCTCTCAAGACCTCCCCAGAACGCAGTAGGAGTCTTAGGGGGTCCTAGCAGTCCCAATGTCGCGGGTCTCGACCCGCGCCCCGGGACACCTCCTCGAACTGCGGCGAGTCCCCGGGGTGGGGTGTGGTGGGGGAGAGGCCGCCAAGCCCCATCGACGGCGCCCTTTTCGGCACCGCAGTCGCTCCTGACAGCCCGGGAGCGCGCAATTGCTGCTCAGCTCCCGCGGCTTCGCCGTCCCAGTCAGCACAGAAAGTTTTCAAAGAACGGTGAGGGCACCTTTCCGAGACCGTAGAGCACCCCGAGGCCCCAGGAGCAGAGGGTCCCGGGGTGAGAGCGCGGCTCCTGCGCCGAGGCGCCCTTACCTGTCGCGGGGAGGCTGCTCTCCGGGCGGCTCCCACTGCTTCTGGGGCGAGGATGCTCGGGGGCCTCTGTTTGTCACTTCTCTTCCACTCTTTCCCCTCCTTCGCCGCCGCCTGCTCTCCGACTGGGTCCTCCGTCCTTATATACCTGCAGGGCTCGCCCGGGTGGACGCTGGACCTTCCCGGCAGCCCTTTTCAAGCGCAACAAGCCACGTCTATGGGAAGGGGGGCGGGAGGGCGGGGGAGGGGGCTTCCAGGTAGGGACTGAGCAAAAGGACCACGTGCCTGCAGAGGGGGCTGTAGCTCTGCCCCGAAGGGTGGAATTAACATCGCCCTGCCGAAGGGTGCACCTGGCGGGTGTGCGGCTTAGCACCCGGGTGTGGGGCCGGCCAAGCGCCACGCTGAGATGGTTGAGGCGAGGATGAAATTACCTGTGTGCGTGCTCTGGCTGGCATCTGCCTCGTTCGCTTCCGGAGGTAAATATTACCGCAAAGGGATTGCGTCTGCGATGCCTCAGATTTCCCCAACGTTTGGAAACTGTGATGTGAGATGTCTCAGGAAATCACAATCGCTCTGTTTCAGCTTGGGGTCGGCGGCTGCACAGAAGGTCAGGGAGTCACTCACCTGGGGCCCAGGATAGGCTGCCCTCTTGAGAGTATGAAGGTGCCTTGCACTGCCCCCCCCCCCCCCCCCGAGTGTCTGCTCCCCATGAGCCTAGTCCACAGCAGGCCCCATCCTGTGTCGCAAACTCCAAGAAAAAAAAATCCTTTAATGGAGAGGAGTGCATTGCATGCAAAGAGCAGCTGAAGTCCTTTCCCTGTGTCCTCTGACGCCCTCTGTGGTCATGAGCTGGGACAGCTGGCTGGGGACTCAGTCTTCAACATCTGGCCTTGCGTTTGGATTCTGGCTTGGACTCTAGTCCTGAATGTCAGGCCGGGGAGAAGAGGACAGCACTCAAACCTGCAGTGGGAATGGCTCTACCTTAACTGGGAATGAAGAAGAAAAACCAAATTGTGAGGAGTCCTGTGGGGTGGGGAGGCAGGGGGAGTTAGAACTAAGCCGAACTTCAAATCAAAGTGCTGGTTTAATCTGCCAATGATAGGAACTTTATTTCCTATCAGACACTCTTTTGGACTCCAAGGCTCCCTTGAGAATTCAGCTTTGCTGATTGATGCCATTGGATTTATAATTATTAATCCTTTCCTTTTGAGCCACGAAAGAGACCAAAGCTCCTTAACAGCAACCAAACCAAAACCCAACCCGTTGCCATTGAGTCGATTCCAACTCAAACAAGGGCTTTATCACTTCGTCCTTGGCCTCTTTCCAGCTTCATCTTCCACCTCTCCATCTCATACTGCTGGCACTCCAGCCACCCACAGCATCCACACACCCGTGAATGCCTCTTTCTTCAGCCTCAGTTTCTTTGTCCATGCTGTTCCTCCAACTAGAACCCCTGTCCTCTCTACAGCCACCCAGGGAAATTTGACTCTTGCACTA